ATTTGTTCTGTAGCTTTTTGTCTTGTAATTATTCTAGACTTTAGATTGATCCGATTATTATAAGCTTTACCTTATACCCCGATTCTGTCCCGTTCATCCTCCGTCCCGTTCCGTCTCCGTCTTGTCTCTCCCTCGTCCCGTTCCGATCACATCCTGTCCTGACTCCGTCCCGTTCCGTCTCCGTCTTGTCTCTCCCTCGTCCCGTTCCGATCACATCCTGTCCTGACTCCGTCCCGACTCCGCCTCCGTCTGCTCTCGCCCTCGCCCCGTTCCGATCACATCCTGTCCCGACTCCGTCCTGTTCCGACCCTTGACCTCCGAACTAGCCACGAGCCTGACAGGTATTCACAACACCGTGGCAATTGATGCACCTTGGAACGGCCTGTTTGCACTCAGTAGCTTTGTGCTCAATTGAGCCACAGCGGGAGCAGCGCTCTGCTCGTGAACAAATTTTAGTTAGGTGGTGTCCCTAGCATCAGTTGCACTGCGCAATTTTGAGCTTGCGCTGGAGTTCGTGAAGGCGCCCGCTTTCTTCAAACAGTGTCTCTCCAAGTTTCGGTTTTCCTGTTGCGAAGTGCAACATCCAGTCCTTTGACGGCCTGGCTATGCTAGTTGCGAAAGCACGAGCCGAGGTTAGTTTAACTCCTGTTTTGAGAGCTGCTTCTTCTATTACCATCTCTGGTGTCACTATGGTGGGCCCTTCCAGAGTGTGAAGCTTATCTGGGATATTCGATGCCAGGACTGATATCCAATTGGAGGCGGCTTCCAATTTCATTTCAGAACTGTCTAAGATGGCTCCTCCTGAGAGAAGTGCACTTCTAGCTCCTTCCACTTCGGCTTGTATTGCGAACCCTGAGTTCATGACAGTGACCTGTTTGATTGTCGAGTTGGCCAGAAGCAGCTTGCTGGCTAGGCTTATTTTAACGAAGTGGGGTGACATACGTCTCCACGGGTGGTCAGGTCTGAGGCGCAAGAATACGCGCTCCTCAGGTCGCTGAGGATTTGTTGCTGGAGCTTTAGGCTTCGGCGCGGAGACGGGACTCATTGGCACTGTCTTGAGTGTTGAAGTTGGAGCCACTTGGTTTGCTGGCTTGTTTCTTTTTCCCAACACCTCGATCCAAGATTTCTCTGTGGCGTTGCTGTTAGTTTTGTTTGAGCCATAGTTGGGCTGGAGAGTTGCGGTTGTGGCTACCGGCCTTGGTGGTGCCGGTCTGTTCTTTTCTCCGGTAAGGATCAGCACTGGACGTGTGACGCTTGCAGGACTTTGTTTTGGAGGCTCTGTAACTTGAGCCGAATTGGATGCGTTGGCATGGCTAGTTGCAGACTTTTGGGGAACATTGGCGTCTGCTTGATATGGGTTACCCCATAGAATTTTCAATATCTTGCCCTGAAGGGCCAGTAAGTCCTGATCAAAGAGTTTTCGAAGTTTCTCGTCAGTGACTGGTTCCAACAGCTGGCAGAACCCGATGATGAGACGCTCTGCGTGTGCAGAGCGCATCTGGAATATCCTGCTCTGTGTCAGGGCTCGCGGACGGTGGGCTAAGGTTAGGACGGAGAGTAGGACGAGGACGAGGACAAAGATGAGGTCAAGAGAGTAGTTAAATTACAAGACAAGAAGTGTTAAGCAAAGTTATACTAACATGAATCTCTCTCAGAGTTGATTGAATTGATTATCCTCTACCATGAGGAATCTATCTAGGTACTACATACATCTCGAGTATCCTACTAATTCCAAATATAGACTGACTATTAGATAGCCCATGCGAACTGCTCAGATCTCCGTTCCATACATGTTTCTGAAATTGGCTGTTACATTATCATGGGCAATAGAGAAAGTGAAACAACCAGGGAGTTGTGCGTATGAAATTGGCCATCCGTCTAGTCGCTAGTTGTAACATTTGCATGACTAAGTTATTGCCCTTGATGCATCAGCTCAGTTTACTTGCTTGTAAACTACTCAACTTAGACATCATGATACAATATTTAAATTTAGGGTAATATGTTTGACAAGAAGCTACAGTCTAAACACAGCCCAAGAGCTTCCTTAAGTACCTAACACCGGTCATTACAATCAAGGGTGCAAAGCCCACAGCTGTAATTTAGCAACTGATCAGTATCTTGACTAGTGACTGTTGCTATTGCAACACACTGACCCTATTCCTGAGTGTACTCATGGGGCGGTTGGCCAGGTGCAACACAATATCATAGAGCTGGTCTGTGACACCCTGTTCAGCGAGGAATTCGGTCGCGACAATTTGAGGCGACGTAGTTTGTTGGTGGGACGGGCTTCGATGACTCGCCTAGTAGATTGGCTCTACAAATTGTTGTGTGGGTGGTTGTGATGGCGGTTGTAGCCCGTTAAGGACCATTTCGACGTCTTGACGCGTCGAACATTGATTGGGGAGGGGGGGGGCGGCATGGGTAATTGAGAGATAAATGTGTCAGTAAAATGTCGTAGGTAGAATGCGATATCGTCACTTGGGTCGTTTGTGTGGTAGACAGCTGGTCTGATAGAGTTCTTGCTCGTTTTCGTTCTGGGGGACAGCTAGTCATACTCTTTTGTAATTTCTAGGTGTTGTAGTGCGCTCTAGAGCGTCGGGTAGTTCTGTAGGGACTGGGCTGTCCAGCACGTGACAGTAGTGACGAGCTGTGGGCAGGCAAGACGTTAAATTCAATCAAATCAAATCCATATTTAACGTCGTGCCCGCGCACAGCAAGTGAGCTCCTCAAGTGCCGGTTAGCTTAGTCTAAATAAAAATACCCGACGTGTTGGCGCCTGAGCAAACCCAACAAAGCAAATGAAAGCCAGGATCTTATCATCCTGCGCTTGGAGATTAAATTATACATGGTTACCGGTCACCCTTCAACTCTCATGTTTTCAGATTGTATTGAATGAAGAATAGATTAAATAAACAATATGGAAGGGGGAACTTAGCTGAATCACATGATTCCCTTTCGGTCAGACTTGTTGTGCTTTTCCAAAGAAATTTGTGACACGCACCCAGCTATTAAATGCGTGAACTCCCTCTGCGGAAGCGAGAGCCCAAGATATGCTGGGACTAGGATTCTGTGCTCTGTGGAGTTGTGCCTGGTACTACCCAGGGTGGCAATAGAAAAAGTGGTTGGGGGACTTTTCTTCTCCGAATGAGCAGGTTAGAATGGGGTTTTCGTGCTGAAACTGTCGGTGGCTGTCTGCGAGATCGCCATGTCCAGACCGTGTAGCTAATAGGTATCCTAGTGTGCGTCGCCCTAGACAGGCGAGCTCGGCGGTAATCTTAGTATTAGGACCAATTCCTAATTTTTTATATCTAGATGGAGAATTTTCTGCCCAATAAAGTGCAACAGAAGCCTCGTACTGGCCTTTGACTTCCCTTCTTGCCCTCGCAATAGAGAATACCGAGTGTAGTGCTGGTGTCACGGAATGTATAAAGGGAATATCAGGATCTGGATGGGTCGGGATCAATAACTGTTTTGTGCGATAAGGAGAGTAATTCTAAACATGTACATGGAAGTCTTTAAGTCCCAAGTTCGCTAAGCCATTCATAGGACTTAGTCCCGTGACAGCTGGAGCCGCACAGGCAGCTTTGGCAAGCGCGTCGGCTGCTTCGTTTCCCAGAATACCTGCGTGGCCCGGGCACCATCGGATGGCCACTTCCCCAGGCGTTGTGTTTTAGCCGCGTGACCTTCTTTTCTAGTTTGCTGCAAGCTTGCAAAAGAGAAAGATTTTCGCTGAGCTAGACGCTGTGGAAACATCAGAGAGAAGACAGAAGGCAGCCTCCTGGTTGTCAAGGCAAACGGTGACGTTAGAGGCGTGGAAAGCCAGTGGGTTGAGGAGTGCTGCAGTAAGGCCTTCCGTGGCCCCGGCAATTTCAGCATCATAGACCTCTGCCGAGTTTCCGAGCGGGAGTGATCCTCGCCCATTCTCCTGCGTAAGGCCTCGATAGATCACGTACCCCGCGCCTGCTCGGTCTGCTATGAGAGCTCCATCTGAAAATACGAATAAGTCTAGAATAGGTCGAGCAGCCTGCCACTGTTTGAAGGAATTTGATCCCGAGAGTCTACCTACTGCCCCAATTTTGATTAGCTTTTCCTCACGGGATGCCGACCATGATGGGGGGATGGTATCTTCGGAAATTTCTAGTGAAATCCTCTGGCGGATCCAGAACATGCGGCTAGTGTTCCAACGCCTACGAAGAGGGTGATTGGGGTCAGCCGCAGCAATTCGCACTGCTAGACGGCTCTGAATTCTGTTAAGCCACGTCTGAGCTGGGCCCCAGCCAGCTTCACGAAGAAGTGCTGCTATTGGTGTGGTACGGTAGACTGGGAGAGCTGCCCGTGCCGCGTCGTTCATCCTATGTTTAACTTGCAGGATAATTTTTTGGGAAGTCTGTTTAGAGTACCAGGTCTCGGTCCCGTAGAAAAGGGTCGCAAAGGCAGCACCTTGTAGAGCTTGTCTTAGAAAAAGAGGGCTACTTCCTCGAGTGGTTGTGGACAGTCTTTTCATATGGCTCGTGATAGCTAGAGACTTCCGGCAAGCCTGTATAGTATGATATTGGAACCGAAGAGCACGGTTGAAAAAGATTCCAAGCCAGCGAGTGTGGTCATTGGGCGTTATAGTTGTCCCTCCAATAATAAGAGTAGGCTCTAGTGGTGAGCCTCGCTTCCGGTGAAAGTATTGCAGCTCAGTCTTAGGAAGTTCGAAACTAATTCCGTTAGTCAGACCCATGCTATAGTGCTATCTAGTTTCTCATGGAGTTTGCGTGCACATTCGTCTAAGGAGGACGCAGACGCGATATCCTTCCTTTGCATGTGAAGCCTAATTCGGTTATTCAGTGTACTGTATCACGTGCTAACTAGAATATCGCGAGACCTACGTCATCACCGGATTTAGTATTAACCCGTTGCAAATTTCCCGCGTTGGAGTAGCGATATTTGGTAGATTTCGTTTTGATACGGCTGAGAGAAGCACAGTATATTGAAACTAGCATACAATATCACCCATGGCAGGTAAAAAATCAGCTCCTGAGAATAGCAAAAAAGTTTCGGGGAACGCCAAAAAAGCGGAGATAGCAGCTCAAAAATCGGGCGTAGAAAAGCAGAAGAAGGCTGCAGAGGAAGATTTAGAGTGGAGTAAAGGGACCAAGAATACAGCAAAAAAGTTCGTTTCAATATGCATCCTTCTGCTCTTGTCACAGAATAGTTAACAGATATATTCAGGGAAGCCGAAGCGGCCAAGAAAGCTGAACAAGCACGTAAGAAAGCTGAAAAAGACGCACTGCTTGCGGAAGAAGAGAAAAATGCTAGAACTGCTCCAAAAAATGCTAAAGTTGCCGTCAAAAAGTACAAAGGCCTCGATTTAGCATCTTTAGATGCCGAAGATGCCGGGCCCAAGAAAGGTACATCGCTCAGCGCGACAGGTATCGATAACGCGCTCGATGCGCTGTCTCTAGCCACTGGTGTAACTACCAAGATAGACAAACATCCAGAAAGACGATTCAAGGCAGCTTTGGCAGCTTATGAAGAGCGTCGGCTGAAGGAAATGGAAGCTGATGGCAGTGGTCAAGGCCTTCGACAAAACCAAAAGAAAGAGAAAATTCGTAAGGAATTCGAAAAACATGAGGAAAATCCATTCAATCAAGTCAGTGCGAGGTATGATGCCACGAAAAATGACTTAAAAGAATTGAGGGAGAGCGAAAATGCAAAAATTGAGGGTCGGTTAGCTTCGAGATAAGTACATTATTTACGACAGGATAGCACGTAGTAATATGATGCAAGTATTAGTGCGGTTTCAATGACAATTTTCAGGACCGACCAGTTAGTAAATTGACTAGATTATATAAATTTTAATGAATGTTGTGAATCAAGACTTAATTGATCCTTCATTCGAAGGCTACTTGAACCGCTTTGGCTTTTAAATTTGTAGAAGGCTGTACACCCTGTTCCACACAATCACAAACAATAGCATGTCATCGCAACGTTTGAAAAAACTACCTGCCGTGCAAAAACAGCGCCTTCTGATTGAATTGTAAGCTATTTTAATCAATTATTGAATATCAATTAAGTTGCTAACAAGTTAAAATTAGTTCATGCCTTAAAAGTATTTGTCCTCACGGAATTTTCCTTACTCTCACTCCAGGCGATTTCACTCGATGGTCTGGTGTGATGTTTGTACGTGGAGGTGGTTATGACACTCTTCTATCGAAAACAATTACTGAAACTGAAAGGGCCCTATTCTTCTGCCATCCTTCGGTTCAACATATCTTTTCCAGCCCTCTATCCTACTCTCCCACCTCTCGTCACTTTCACGACTGATATTTTCCATCCTCTCATTAAACCTCTTTCAGCTTATGTGTATCCTGCCGATAATAAATTACCAGTCCATGTCTCGACCACAAATGACGATCGTTTGCCACCTGGTGGGTTCAGCTTACAACACGGATTTCCAAGTTGGTTCTCAAACGACCAGAAGGGAAATTTCAATGGTGACTTGAAAAAAATGAGATCAGTGAATGAGGAAACGACTAGAGATAGGTCAGAAACTAGTAATCTACGTATTTCTTTGGAAAAGGATAGCTTCAAAGAAGAGACTACGCAAGAGCCAAATATCTATGAGCTGCTCAGGTACATTCGTAGTACCTTTGATAGTGAAGAAATATTAGATGAGGTCCCACTTAAGGCAGCTGGAAATCCAGGAGCATGGCACGCCTGGTGGACCTATCGAGCAAAGCAGGGTAAATTTCCCGAAAGATATATGAGTGGGGATGTAGTCACAGTACTAAAAGATCTTAATGAATTTGGTGCTGAGAAGACCACACTAGAAACACGCAGCGCACAAATTACTGCAACTCAAGCTGAATCTCAAAAGTTGCCCCCGCCAATGACTAGCAAGATGCCAGAAGAATGGAATTGGGATGGGGTATGGGAAGTAAGAGTTAAAAAGGGAATAGAAGCTAGCATAAGTGAAAGTGTATTATTTAAAAAGGACTCCGGTGATGATCTTATACGCTTCTTGCACATGGACTGTTCGCAAATTGAGGCAATAAAAGAAGATATTAAGAGAAGTGTAGAAGCAGCTAGGCCACAAGTTTGAAAAAGGGTTGAAAAAAAAACATGAAGTAATTTCACCTCATGATAAGCGGAAAACTTCTGCACTTAAACAAATGGGTAAGAAGTATCGAATATTATCCTAAGAGTGTCTATTCAGGCGAGACTTTGAAATAGGCCAGTAAGGTACCTAAAATACATAAATGAGGCACTTGTTATACGGTCTTCACGCATATATATCACTATTAAAAAACCAAAGAATCTAGTGAGCTCTTTCCTCAATTTTAGGCATAAAATATGTACCGCACCTTCCTTAGTCGTGAAAATTAGGGGTTCAAATAGAACAACTAATATCTAATCAATAATCCTTCAAATATTAGAGCCATCTTACATCTATCTCGTTTCATCAGTTTTGATCATGGGTAGCAATAATGAGCAGTAATAACATCAATCGAACAGTTGGAGCACTTATACTTGTTCCCATAATTATCGCAGCATCAGCAGCATTTATTGCTGTCAAGGCAACCGACTATATTCAAGTCTTGACAAAATATTTAAGTAAGTCCTGGAAAAAAAATCGCCTTCGGACTACAATTGGAAAACTTAGTAAGAAATCTCATAGAAGATACAAATCCAGATCGATTCAAACATTTGCAGATTCTTGGTGTGATATTGAAAGCACCTGCAGTGGACAAGGAAGTGTATACAACCACTTTCAAGGACAAGAGATATTGGAGAGACCGCACACTCTCAAATCTGGCATAATATGGCATCCCTCTCGCGCAAGTCGCTTGGCATGGAGTTTTGCGAGTCCGATATCGCTAAACCACAACCTCTTCGGGTTATCAAACGTAGCCAAACCATCAGCTATTGCTCGCCGTCAGGAAAAAGTCTTGATGGAAGACCTAGCTCTCCCGACTCTTTCAATCAGCGTGAGGGAAGTCCCCCGATGAGAACCGAATGGCCAGTGACAGTAAAAAAGCGAAGACGTCAACCCTCACACAGTATTTCGAGTATTTTTAGCGATACAAGTGGTTCCAAACAGGGCACAGTAGCACAAGCGGGGGTCCAATCTCAAATGTGCGGAATGATTACAAGAAAAGAACAGGCCGCTGGTTTAAGGACATCAGAAAGAAATACAGTGGCACTATATGATTCAGAAGTAACGCCGAAGATAATCAGACCAGTCGCGAGAAACTCTAGTGCTGTAGCATTTCTGAAGACGGAGCGTAATCAACGGAGATTAAATGCTGATCTCACTAGCTGCTCTGTTCGAGGTGTTCAAAATTCTTTTAAACATTTGAACAAGGATGATATACAAAACATATCACATCAAAGGAGGTCGTCACATAGTACGTCTGAAAGAAGCTTTTCGAGGACTAGCAATGTTTTTATGCGTGCTTTAACGGGACGATGCCATCAAAAACCGAAACTATCTCCCCCCATGAATCATGATCAATTTATGTCATTTAGTACTCCATCAAGCCATCGAAGTTCGAGAAGCAAAAAATCAAGTTCAAGCTCGACACAGTTAGATTCACGTAGCTCTGAATATTTAGATACCAAAAATTATTATCACAATGCTTACATACATGACGCAAATACCAGTCTTGACGCTCTAATTCCAGTCCAAAAAAATCAAGACCCAGAGTTAAAATCAGAAATTTTATCGGCCATTGCCCAGCCTTTAGATACATTCATTTTATGCCCTGAGATTGAAATAACGCCTGAGATTTCAGCTATTGGAACAAAAAGCTGTGATTTATGGGTTGCAGTCGAAGTTAAAGGATCTCTTAAAAAGGCAGATGGAAGCAGCGGAAAAGGCACTACTGGCCAGTCTCTAATCACGCCAGAAAATGGAGCTATTAAGAGTCAGTGTATTTCATCCTTCTAAGGCTAGAATTTATTCTGATAATTATCTTTAGATGCCGAAGCTTTCGGCTTTCTCGAATCCCTAAAGGTTCGTGTTGAGGCTGGCAAAGATTGCAAGATCGATGAGATAATTGGGGATTACAAAGTTATCCAGAAAATCAAAGCTAATCAGACACATCTAATCATATTACGGATGCAGTTTCGCGAGATGGTAGCAGTAAATAGCGCCCGAACTATTTCTTCACAAGATTTGATTACAGAGCTACAAACTGATCTGGGGGCTACTCGTTGTCCATATATCACAGTAAAATTGAGCTACGTTCATTCTGGTTTCCGTGTCACAGAACAACCATTAAAGCAAACTTCTGGTATCAGCTCACATAAGACATGGCTACATACAGAGGCTACTGCTTTAATCATGAGGTATAATCCCAACTCAGCTTGGTCGCCGCATATTGATCAGAAAACTTCCTTAGCGGAGAATCCAATTTTGAGCCTTATTGAAACAAACTTTCATAAAAAAAGAGCTCAGGACGCTATAAGGCGAATAGCGGTAAGTAAGTCAAATTTGCCATCAGCAAGGCGTCTGGTACAAACTTACGAGCTCTTCACCGATAATAATAAAGAGCCCGACCATATTTTGCAAAAAAAGTTTGATACACCGCATAATAGCCCCATACAACAAACAAAAGAATCCAATTCGGTAACTCTTCGAGCACTTACTCATAAACCTCACGAATTTTCTGAGGAGATTGATCCAGCCCACAAGATTTGGGTCGATATGCGTCGGAACTCGCGGAGAAGATGCACTGAGGTTAAACCAGACGTCAATCAAGGCTCTAGATTAAGCAATCAAGCTTTCAAAAAAAAATCAATTTACACTTTAGGCAATCATGAATCCACAGGCCTTGGAAGAGTTTCAATTGAACAAGAAAGGAACTGGATTAGGGAAGTGGCTCTCAGAAATAAAAGAAGTCTTGGTGCTGAGACTCTTAAGAGCATAGCTCCCAGCGTTGTTGAGACTCAATTTCCGAAGCTAACAGACGAATGCACAAGTGGAATTAGAATTGGAAAGAGCTGGTGGGTGGGGTTATTTGTATGATAACTAATACTTGATTGTATGTTTTAAGATAAGCAATTTTTCTTCTTACAGAAGTTGAAGGCTCGTTTATAACCTCGTTAAAAATGAGGTTGTGTGTATAATGAGCTTTTTTAGCCTCATAAGTTTGAATCGTAGTCATATTACTTTTGTTATTGAGGTTGGCTTTTTCAAGGATAGTTCAGACGAAGATAGCATGATTTTAGAGAAGCGGACTATGTTTGATTTGAATGAATGAATATTTATTCGTGATAGACACAAGCCTGGCACTCATAGAGCATGACACGTAAAAAGCTAGTCCTTCCCCGGCGACTATATATGACGATAACTCAGTTTGAAATTCGGACTAATCATGTAGTGGGTGCATTCGCTGATACTAGTCGAAACTTTTGTGCTAGGAGCTTTCACCCTTCCATCAACGGTTAATATCTACCAAAGAGAAAACAGGAAAAACCTTTGGCTGCCCTAACTTGCCTCTGAAATTTTGCATATAGCCACCTCGCTTGATTTTGATTTTGATTAATTTCGTGCCTGTCCACAGCTCGTGATTACTGTTACGTGCTGAACCGTTTAGATTAGACCAGAGCTAGGAATACGCAGAGATTCTCGGATATATTCCAGGCTACTGTTTCTCCTTGGAGTATAATCGGAAGGTCTATGATTCAAAGTATGAGAGGTGTTGGAAAATATACTCTGTACGATATTATATGGATAAATATGATGAAGTAAAGAAGACTTGATATTTTACAACTATGGGAACATTGCACTTATAAATACATCTAAGGGAGAAATTCCCGCTAGTCTCGTGTGCCTGTCAAACCTAGTGATGACTAGCCACCTCTCATCCACCATGATGAGCCGAGGTACACTGTAGTACGTAAACATCCAAACGTATAGGCGACAGTAGGCGCGATTAGCGTACTCAGGACATTTATAGAGAGAGTCGATCTTGTCGGGAACCTGAGACGAAACAGGTAATGGTTGAGTCCTAAATTCGAGAGTCAGAATTTCCAACAAGAGGTTCAGTTCTGATACATGTGTGTTAAACTGTTACATCAGTGCATGTTTAGCAGTTACATCGTTTTATACTAACTAGGCTATATAGGAGCAGGACGATGGATACTTTTAGGGAAGTTACGCTCATAGTAGGTCTCTATAATCGCTGTCGCGTGTATTCTCGTAATATGTAAGACTTGACTCTATATTCTCGTATAAAAGAAAACTCAGTTACAATGAATGGATGGAGGTTGAGACCTCCTTATATCTTGCTCCAGATTTACTGTGTTTTTCAACAAAGTCCTCACTTCGAAGAGGATTCCCAATCGCTTCCGCGGTCTGTATCGTCTTCATCTCTCAACACATTCCCCTATCACCATTATCATGAAGCTAACCACGATCAGATCAGATGGTAGGGTCGGAGCTCTACTCATCACCAAACCTTGATCACGGAGGAAAAGCCATCCGATGAGTTTCCGGAGCGTACCCAGCACCCGATACGGAGATGGTGGATTGGATCAAGTCGGCCTCGACTGTTACAAAGAAGGGAGATATAGATGAATATGCGCACCTCATGTGGTCCCGGTGTCTAGGCCTCGCCTGGCTGGGGCTGCAGGTTTTTGGAGACTTTTTCCCGCGCACGCAGTTTCCATTGCTACCATTTTTATTTTTTTTGGGTAGAAGGTTCCGTGGAAAAGGTGGCTGAATTCCACGGGTAAATACTGAGCTGAATGGCTATTCATCAAGGGGAATATATCAATGATCTTTCGAGTAACAAAAGAGGATAGGAGCACTGTACAAGGTGTGGCCTTGGTCAGAGAGGAGCCCAATGTGCCAGATAGTCATAGGCTCAAGTAGTACAATAAACAAAAACATACACATACTGTGTTCACAGCCTAGTGCTAGAACAGTCCTTGCGAGTGTGGGTGACACTATAAAAACTGCCATGGTTGGATGGTGCGGTGGTATATCGTCTTGGCCAGTCTGCCATGTAGAGTCTGGATAGCTTGGACACATATCCCACTCGAGACAGAAGATCGCTGGTTCAAATCCGGCAAAACACAACCACATTTCTCGCGGCGCTTGTATGCATGGATTACGAAGGCATGCTTGGATAACCAAAGGTCTTGAAACGTCTCTTTGGTGGGTACTTACGGAGGAGGGTTGACAGTTTGTGTAAGCAAGCATACCTCGTAGTGGTATTTGCGAATGAAATCCAGTGTATGAGTGTCTCTAACGTCAAAAGAGTCATCCAACATGTATACACAGCACCGGTCATGTTTCATGTGTTATAGCTAGATAGCTTCATACAAATTAAATGATTTAAAAAAAAGCCTAGTCCCTGCAGGACCACCCGCCACTTTACAGCCCAGGGATTAAATTCGACTTAGTTTGGTTCTAACTCGAGCCCCGGCCGATGTAATGATATATCTAGGCCGGCAAAGACGAATCCTTCACCTTCTATTGGTGCCGGTGTAATTGCTCAGCATGCTCCGCATATCTGTGATAGCCAAGAAGAATCGCATCCGAATCGAAGTCGAAAACAAACACATCCACATCTCCATTTGACGACTTCTCAAGCATGCAGCACTCACAATTATCTTCTGAGTCCCAAATCTCTGATTGACCACATATCATCTCGGCTCAACAACCGATAAAGGCGTCACTCCAATTGCAAACAGGAGCCTGCCTCATTAGTTATCGACCATTATGCACTACAGATTTGCGACGCTACGTATATCCGCAAGGAGAAAATCAAGTCATAACACACAAAGTTGGGGTCTTGGTTCATGGGAGACTGATGCTCTGATGGGGTTATACATCTTGAGGAGGGATAGGTAGCTGAGATGTGAAACGAGAGGGGCAACAGGTCTCTGAAGATCATGCTGGGACTGATATTTTCGAGGAGCTTTTCTTAAGAAAGATACGTGGGACACGGTATTACATTGTAAATGTTGACTAGATAGCCCTGATGCTGCAGATGAAGTCTATGTACTGATAGTCAGGTCATGTGATCTGACTAGCTTAGTTTACATGAGTAGGTGAAAAAGTTTCCCCTGACAACTTTCAACTTTGGATTTGTGGTGGGCGCCAAGACCAAGATTTCGGCTAGATAGCCGGGAGGTTTCTTTTATCGATGAGTCAACGGCACTTCCCAGAGTCCTGGACGACACAAAAGAAGTTGGGCTAAGCTTTATCGACTTTAAGGTTGTTGTCAACTTTGTTTGTGTACGTTTGTTATCACAGACATTGGAAATAATTCATGAGATTGCTAAATGAGAGGCTAGTATTAATTCCGATATAATATTGTAGAAGACTTGTCCCAACTATGAGAGGGCTACAACGTCTTTATCTATCTACAGCTAAACTCCCCATATTCCAACCACGCTAGCCATACAGGACGTAGCATACAAAACGTGATTTGTATTATCATTTTGGGGTTGAGGTTTACCGTGCATATGCTGCTCGAGTCGCATGTCTGACTACTATGCGATACGCTCAGGTATCAATCTAATAACCCACACCAAAACCGAAACTGCTCACAACCCTGATGATGACCCCATGAATAATTGGGACAGTAGCCTGCAATATAGCACAATTAGGCTAGATATCGTTGATCAGGACCTAATCCGAACAAAGCTACTATACAGCAATCACGCTCTGTCAAGACTTTTCTGACAATTCAGCATGACCTTTGGAAAGGAGTCGTAAGTAGCCTACAAAGGTAGAGAGTAAAATTTCCAAGGTACACACAAGTCTGCAGCGCCCAGCTGGTCGGCCTCTTCGAACGCTTCACAAGGGTCATAATGTCATCGGATTTAGTCCTAATGTCGGGTTTAGAAGAGCTCCGCATCCAGTGGTTTTTGCGATTATTCCCGGCTGCCATACACCCGAAAATAGCCATCGATTCGTTGGCTGGAGAGGGGAGATAATGAAGGGCAAAGGGCATCTCCAAGTGTATGATCGAACGAGGACTTGAGGGGTGATACTGCTTGAAGGGAGCTGTGTTTTTTTTAGTTATTTATAATATTTAACGTCGTGCCCGCGCACAGCACGTGAGTTCCTCATGTACCGGTTAGCCCAGTCTAAATTAAACTACCCGACGTGTTGGCGCCCTCACGGACCCACCAAAGCAAACAATAGCTAGGATTTTATCAACCCACGCTCGAAGATTTAAGTGTATATGAAGGTCGTCCGTCCAACGAATCTCACGCTATGCCGTTGGTACTAAATCAAGAAAAGATTTTACAAAACAAAATAAAAAATAAAAGGAGAAGATTGTTTACATCAGATTGTGATTTCGTTTGAATCAAACTGTTCGTTGTTCCCTTTCGAAGAAATCTGTGACACGCACCCAATTATTGAATGCATCAACTCCCTCCGCCGAAGCAAGTGCCCAGGATACGCTGGGATTAGAGTTCTGTGCCCTGTGGAGCTGAGCTTGGTATTGCTCGAGGTGGCAATAGAAAAAGTGGTTAGGGGACTTCTCTTTTCCGCACGTGCAGGTTAGAATGGTGTTTTCATGCTGAAACCGTCGGTGGTAGTCCGCGAAGTCGCCATGACCGGACCGTGGAGCTAGTATATATCCTAATGCACGTCGCCCCAGACGGACGAGCTCAACGGTGGTTTTCGAAAGGGAGCTGTGTGGGAGGCATGGGAGGGGATACACTACTGGCATAGTGTTGTGATCTAGGAATAGCACAGAATTGTTTATGCATACCTGCACAAATGTTATGCTATGGCGCTTAATAAGGATGTTATTGTAGACTGCTGGACAAACAGGAATAGCCGCGCTATGATTGGTGGGATTAGTATGGTGTGAACCTGCAAGGGTGATAGGAGAGTAATTTAGGTGTGGTCCGAAGTACATTGAGTCGGTAGCACATAACCATCTTCTGTCTGTACATCTTTCTATCTTTCAGCACATAATAAAGTGCGTAGCATCTTTACTAGTATCTACAACCAACTATCTACAAGCGCAGTATTTATAGACCATACTCCATTTA